GGCTTTTTTCTTTTTGCTTATGTGGTGCTGAGGAATTGAACCCAGGGCCTCAGGCATGCAAGGCAAGCGCTCTACCACTGAGCCACCTTCCCAGCCCTAGACCGCCCTGTTGATTGGTGGGGGCACTGAAGGGGCTCAGAGAGGGCTGGGAATTAGTGTTACACACTGAAGTAGCCCACCTCTCAGGTCAGTGTCTAGATCATTCCTCCTGGCATGGCGGGAGTGATGCTAGAAGGAGACTGAGGCCTTTGCCTTCTCCTTCCCCTTGGCCCCCAGCTGAGCTTCCAGCGCAAGGTGGGTATCCTGTACTGCCGCGCAGGCCAGAGCTCGGAGGAGGAGATGTACAACAACCAGGAGGCCGGCGCGGCCTTCATGCAGTTCCTCACCTTGCTGGGTGATGTAGTGCGACTCAAGGGCTTTGAGAGTTACCGAGCCCAGCTGGACACCAAAAGTAAGGCTCGGGGCACTTGGGGTGGGGGTGGGGGGCGGGGGGGAGGGGGGACTCATGTGGAGTGGTACAACTTCCTTGCCACTCGTACATTGGGCAGGAGCTGGGGCAGAGGGCTGAGACTTGAGTAGGCTGAGGATGCGAGTCCTGGTACAAAAGCCAGTTGTGGGCTGGGAGGAGGGGCTGGGAGTATCCTCCAAGGCCTGGTACCCTATTTCCTTAGCGGGGCCCAGGTGGTTTGGGGGTACCATCCACTTCATCTCACACATCCCGGAAGCCCAGTCTCCAGAGCCAGCCTATCTTCCTCATAGAAGGGATCCAGGGCCTCTGGGAGTTATTTTTAGAGACAAGACACACTCTCCCAGAATTCCTTAAGGGCTCAGCCCACCATCTAGCCTCTCTCCAGCACCCTCCCTGCCTTCCTCTGAGGAAATTCTCACTTCTGTCTTCATTCTAGCTTCCCACCCCTGCCCCGAACCCCCTTCACCCTGTGGGCAGGGATGGCATGTTCAAGCCACCCACACCTCCCCTTGATCTCCCTCTGTATCCCCAACTTCCGGTCCAAAGCGGATTCCACGGGCACGCACTCCCTCTACACCACCTACCAGGACCACGAGATCATGTTCCACGTGTCAACCATGCTGCCTTACACCCCTAATAACCAGCAGCAGGTGTGAGGGGATGGGGGGTGGGGAGGGAGGGCTTCTGGGGAGTCACAGAGGGTGTTGCATGGGGGATGGAGTGGGGGGTGGTGTCAATATATGGGTCTTGGCCTGAGTTGTGCAGATTCCAGGCAACCTTTCTCAATGGTGGTGTCTTCCCAGATGCGTGTGCACACAGCCCCCTAGGTCTTCAGGCCGTTGGCGGGTGGGTGGGGAGCCACAGGAGCCCAAGCGTTGCCCCGCTGGTGTGAGGAGGGGCTTGGGGACATGCAGCCCCTCCCACATCTCCCCCACCATCCGATTACAGCTCCTGAGGAAACGCCACATCGGCAACGACATCGTGACCATCGTGTTCCAGGAGCCGGGCAGCAAGCCCTTCTGCCCCACCACGATCCGTTCTCACTTCCAGCACGTGTTCTTAGTGGTGCGCGCGCATGCGCCCTGCACCCCACACACCTCTTACAGGTGGGTGCCCGGGTGGCTTTCGAATCTCCCACTGCTGCGAGATCGGCACCGACTGCTGGACACCCTCCTCACCACGGCCTCCTTCCACGCAGGGTGGCCGTGAGCCGCACGCAGGACACCCCGGCCTTTGGGCCCGCGTTGCCCCGGGGCGGCGGTCCCTTCGCAGCCAACGCGGACTTCCGGGCCTTCCTGCTGGCCAAGGCGCTCAACGGGGAGCAGGCGGCCGGCCACGCCCGCCAGTTCCACGCCATGGCCACGCGCACGCGCCAGCAGTACTTGCAGGACCTGGCGGCCAACGAGGTGACCACCACGTCGCTGGACTCGGCCTCCCGCTTCGGCCTCCCGTCCCTGGGCGGCCGG